TAGAAAAGATCTTGCAGACCCGATCAATCGCAAAAGGCGAATCGTTGCTGCAGTTCTTTATTTGCATGCGGAACATCGCTCAGCAGGGAGCATTTGAGGACGTGGACGTCATCAAGTATATTGTAGATGGCTTCGGAGATCGGACAGGGTGCGCTGCTCCTCTTTACTACTGCACTACATTGGCGGAGCTTCAGCAAAAGATGATGCGGTTCCAGACCCTACAGGCTGAAAGTATGACCAAGCTGTACACAAGTTGTCGGTTGGCCGATCACCACTATAGAGATCATATGCTACAACTGCCGCCAGATGGGGCACTTGAGTCCACAATGCCAACGAGGCAAGAGACCAGAAGGAGCTTATTTCAACTGCTTCGAGGTGGGTCACCAGTGCAAGCAATGTCCGAAGCGCTTCCCCGTCGCAGCTATGGGTACCATTGAAGATAATGCTGAGGACAAATATTTTATGCAGCTTGTAAGTTTACAAATACCAGGTAAAGAGGGATGCACTTAAATTAACGATATATTTGCTTTATTGGATACAGGGAGTCCCGTAAGCTTTGGAAGCAAATCCTTGATTCCGCAATTGGTGGACCAACATAAATTGAAAAAAAAAACCATTTCCGTGAACTTAGTGGCCAGTTTATTTTGACGTATGGAAAAGTCAACCGTTTTTTGTTATTTCACCAAAAATAGTATAAGATTGAAGATTTTGTAATTCTTGATTTATATTACCAACGCCACTATTACTTGGGAGAGACGCTCTCAGAATCCTTAACGTTAGACTAAGTTGCTGTAGCATTGGATAACAACATTGTTAGCGTGGGCAGCGAGTTTGGTTGCGACGGGAGTGCCATCGAATTGTGAATGGCCATTATGTTGACAAGTTTTCGATGCGTTACGGGCCAACTAAGCATATAATGAGTATTCGACTAACCGACAATACTTCCTTCTATAGCTCTCCCCTAAGATTGTCCTATTACGAGAGGGGTGTTGTTAATGACACTATAAATGAGTTGCTGGCAAATAAGGTTATTCGACCAAGTAATTCGCCATACGCATCGGCAGTGGTATTGGTGAAAAAGAAAGACGTGGAGTCAGTTAATTTACTGCATTTGTTGTTCCAGATGGATATTTTGAATATGTTGGAATGCCGTTTGGGTTGAAAAATGGGCCATCAGTTTTCCAGAGATTCATATCAAATGTTTTGGGTGACATGATTGGGAGTCATCAAATTGTGGTGTACGTGGATGGCATAATATTAGCTACACGAACCGTCACAGAGCATTTCCAGGTGTTGCGAAAGCTACTTGATAGACTCCTTGAGAATAGCTTAGAGATTAATATCAAGAAGCGAATCGACTACTTAGGATATGACGTCAGTGTTCAAGGGATTCTTCCTAATAACTCACATCTCCAGGCTATACAAGAATAGCCTGAGCCACTCACTGCTAAAGCCTTACACTCATGTTTGGGATTATTTTCCTATTTTCGCAAGTTGGTCCTGAAGGGAGGCCCTTTCCCAATGCAAGAGCTTCAAAGAGATGCATTCAACACATTGAGATCTGCCCTATTCAGTCTGCCCACTTTGTCTATTTTTAATCTCAATCATGTAACTGAGTTGCATACGGATGCTAGCTCACATGGATTCGGTGCTGCGTTAATGCAACGGCAGCCCGATGGCAAGTTTCACCCAATGCTCTTCTACTCCAGAGACCCTGGCCATAATTTATGCATTGCGGCGATTCCGTGTTTATTTTGAGCATCGTCCATTTGTAATAGTTACTGACTGTAGTTCCTTGGTGTAGACTTTGAGCAAGAAGTCGATAAATCCACGCATTGCGCGATGGTCGTTGGAAAACTATAATTACTCGACCTCCCACCGGCCTGGTTCAAATATGGAGCATGTGGATGCATTGAGTAGACAAACTGAACTTTTACCGGATAATTCTGGGGACGTAGTCGATCCGTGTGTTATCGTGTTCAAGGAACGCGACATGGAGAACTTGCACAATGTAGAGAAATCGTTTGACATAGAGAAAGCGCGTGATTTCGTTAGAATAGTAGATTCGGCCAGTTCGTTTGATAATAACGTATGTTGCGACACAAATGACTATATGACATCTCATCAACGCGACGCAAACAGACATTCAATAAAATAGCTTGGCAACACATATCATACATATAAGTACACACCCATATTGTTTTAGCATATATAATATTGGCACCATAGTCTGCACGCGCACACGAATAGCAAGTGCATTGACACTGGCCAGCCAACATAAGCAATAATAAGCAAGAATAAGACACATATTATTCTGCTACCTCAGCATAATATGAACCAAATTGGGCTGACTCCAGCATACTTAACTTCACAATAATGCTGCCCAAGCATATATTATGAAACCACCAACACATAGAAAGAGTAAATGTAAGCTAGCTTTAAGCATGGCTATTTAAGCCATGATTTGTATCAATAAAATCAGTATGCAAATTATAAACGAACGGCCAGAAGGACAATAAGCGTCCTTTAGCTTAACTCGTCAGGACCACAATCGTCCTGCCGATTCGCACTACCGCACGTGTGCGAATAAACATTGGTGACCCCGACGTGATCCTTAATACAGGATCACAATCACTGAGCACGTAACTCAGAGGAACATTAACAATATGTCGAAAGCCGACAAGTCTGAAGCTGTACAAGCATAGCGAGGCAGAGTCGAGGAGATCGAGCGGCTCATAACCAATTACAAGAAGTCCTTCTTCTGGGAGCGCAAGTCCAAGCCTGAGTACTACCCAAACCTGGCTCGTCGGCTGGAAGGCTTGGCACGGGAACCGGAAGAGGGTCACAGCGCCCTGATGGCCACAGAAGAGCTACCGGCCGAGCATGAGTATTTTCTGCTATACGAGCACACTCAGAAACAGTCCCAGCGATACCTGGAGTTGTTCCAGCAGCCTCCAACCAGAGGGGCCAGCCGTACCCCGAATCGCGATCCCGAAGGAGGAGCAAGAATCTCCGAGTCAGGGTACCATCTACAGGTTCCTCCAGCCAGCACCTCCTCAACGCCAGCAACCCCAACGAACCTTGGGGAAGAGTTGATCAACTTGGCGGCCCTGGAAGCAGGACGAATGACGCCAACAAGAATGATAGCTCCGGGCGTCGCCTCTTTCAACTATGAGCTGAACGCCTTTGAGATAATGGTGCAGAGCTGGTCAGCTCAACCGACTTTGCCAAAGAGACAAGAGCTAGCCCTGACAGCGTGGAACCGTATCCAGGACAAACGGGATGTACTCAACATCGACTGGGAAAACCCAGAAAGGCAAAGATTCAACTCCGTCCTCTTCTCAAGGGTCCAACAGCAGCTAAATGACTGTCTATGCAAGGAGGCCCCCCAGGCAGTAACAGCAAGCACGCAGCCCACCGCCGAAATGGCCGTCCGGCTGCCGCAAATCGTAATTCCACCGTTCGACGGACGATTATAATGATCTTTCACATTTACTTTCGACAGGGCTCTCTCTCTCTATTCTATCAAATCTATTCTTTATAATTATCTTCGGGGAAATCTCCGACCACTTACTGCTGTGAGTTGGGGCATAGCTTGCCGGACTGGCATTTAAAAATTCCCCCACCGGGTTGGAGATTTCCCTCTTTTTCTTTTTCTTTTCGTCTCCCTTTCCACCTTTCTCTTTTTCTGTTTCTCTGTCTCTCTTTCCTTCTTTCTTTTTCTCTTTCTCATTCTACTTCGTACTTTTTCTAATTATTTGTTAAATAGAATTAATTTTTCACCTTTATGGCTGTGAATCGGGGCATAGCTGGCCAATTGGCAAATAAAATTCCCCCAACGTGTCGGAGGCATTAATAGACGTCATTGTACAGCTTTGTGTTAGGCTTTCTTATCTTTTATTTTGTTTAGTTTAATTTGTTATATTAAGTTTTATAATATAGCGTCAACGATACTCAGCTTCCAAATGCATCTGGACTTTATTGTCAAGAACGGGCACCCATGGCCACAACAGTGTCGCAATGGAAATTTCGTTAGCTACTATGAACTGCAACTGTTATGGCAAGACCTGAAGATTGCCAAGCAAGGCATTGAAATATTACAGCGGTTATGTAAGGACACTTCGCATAAAGGCCACGTATGTAAGTCGTCTCTCGTACTCCACCCACATGAAATGGATGCCCTCCGGCACACGAAGGCGCCTATAAAAGGAGGCTGCATGGCTAGAAGCAATTCGGACGCAGGTTAATGAAATCAGCAACGGCAAAGCTGACTACAAGGCGTTTGACTGGCATAAACATGAAGACAACATCTATCACCCCCACTGACGCTGTGTGCTCACTAACCAGTACACATTATTTCCTACCGGAGCACCCTACATTTACGTCGCAAGTACTAGAAGCATATCCGGCGTGTGTATCCATCGACAAGGAAGAACCTAAAAGCCAAATACACTACATGAAGACATAATGCCAGTTTCACTTAGTAGCAGTCATCGCCACCATTGGAACCTACGTAACCCTGATCATCTCGATCAATTTGTGGCTACGACGTCAGCCACTGAGCAATACCAATCCCGATTCCAATCTGGCCTACACCGCAACCATCAAATCGGCATCACGTTCCAGACCGAGACGACAACCAATGCGGATTGGAATTAATATAAGTAAGCAAAGATACCAGCATACTTTCCCTAAACACTCACCATAAGAAAGGTCAGCAGGTACTCAGAAGCAAACTACATTAAGAAGTAGTTGAAGAAGAAGCTTCAAAGAATTTTCTTCTGGAATAGGTTTTTCTACCTGTTGTATAAATTAATAAATTTTATGTTTATTTTATATAAAAAAATATTTATTACAGCACTATGTGCTTATTGTCGAGTTGATTACAAACTGAACTTAATATTTAAGCTAAGCCCTAACGAAACCTTTGTCCCAGCGTTCCTACGTTGACGTCGGCGTCGACGTTGCACCGAGAATCGCTGAGACCACATTTTGGCCTTCTTGGGAACCAATAGTCGCCATCGGTTCCGCAGACTGCTGAGGTTGCGATCCCACGGTAGCTGGCTTGCCAGCGCGTTGACCCCGTATGCACCGAATTAGATACTCAACACTTTATGTCAGCATTTCCCAGCACGTTGATTTGCCACGTGCGGCGGTCAGTGCGACAATTTGGTACTCAATGTTGGCGTTTTGAGTAACTAAACTGTTAACTCCTCCCTCCCTTATCTCGAACGTCGCGGTCGATGAATTAAAATCCGGGGAGATCATGGATGCTTCTAGGTTTTTTAGTATGGCTTTCCGAGGGAGTTTCTGCCGTGTTGGTCCTCTTTGGGCGCAGCACTTCGCTTGAGGGATTGCTTTGTTTCTCCACTACTTTTGTGCTCGGTCCGCACATCTTTAGCTTTACTACGTAGGTGATGAACATAAACACAACTCCAGCTGATATCCCAATACTTGAGAATGTGTTTGCCTTGAGGTTAGGTTGCAGAGCACTTATCCTTTCTGTATTTTTGATGTTCAGGTCCTTCATCAGTTGTAGGGATAGAACCTCCTCCATCGTTGTCAGCGGCCTCTCCAGTTGAATCATAGCTGGTAGTGGCTTATAGCTAGAGGTTTCGTATGATGAAAAAAACTGATTTATATATAATTATATCTAATGTACAATTATTAAATTTAATTATGAACGATCCCTTAAGTGTTTGGGATTCATTATTACTTGAAATCTTACCACTAAAGTTGTTCAGAAGAAGAATACCTGTATCTATTAGTTCTATTGCTTTTATGTGATTATCGTTAATGATGGTACGATTGTTTGGTCTATTTGTTATTAACTTTGAAATGCAGTTGTCATTTGAAAAATCTACAATATTTGATCTTAAGCACATACTGATTTTATTAATTTTTTTGCATTGGTTGTTAGTTGAAAAGACTGCATTTTTACATTTAATGACATTTCCGTCTTTTATCTTTAATACCTGTTTATGCGGCAGCGCGCTGTTAACTACAGCCGAAGCTGGCGCAGCAGCAGCAGCAGTCAATACTAACAGCTGTTAGCGCCTATGTTAGTTAACAGAGCGATGCCCGCTTCGCTGCCTCTCTCCACAATAGTCGAATTAGTTTGTAAGCGCTTTACTGGTGAGACGGCATAATCTGAAAAGTGAACAGAGGAAAAACGAAAAGTGCAAGGTTTTTCTTACGCCGCCATTTTTAAACACAAGATCTCATCCGTTCGCCCCAGCTTGTTCTTGGCACCGTTGGATTCCTAAGGAGAAAATAGAGCTAAGTAAAAAGCGCATTTTTTACTCTGCAACTTACCGCCATTTGTTCTGTCGGTCTGTCCGCCGACCCCCAAAACGGAATTAGCATCAAGCTTTCCGTTCCCTATCCAAGGGCTCAAACCAGCCACTGCGGAAGTGATTTTCCATCCTTCGCGCCTCCTATAAGGCAGCTTGTCTGCAACCAAAACGGCTTGCCAACGGCAGGTACCGCAACATAAAACACAATTGCAACACATTATTAAAAACAAATTTAATAAATCCGTCCATCCGCATTAATTTGCATTTGTAATCGCCGTCTCCTTAACAGTAAACGTACATATGCACATACATATACAACACCATATGAACCTCACATGCAACAATAAATTTGGAATTAAACACTCACATATCAGCATACACAAGTGCATATATTTTTGCAACCATCAAAAGGCACAAACATATATCACTCATATATTAATTCATACATATACTAAATAAGCATATTATTATACACATATATACACATATATTTTCCATCCGTACATAAATACTTATTCTACTAACACAATTCACGTAACGTGGCTGTCGATCCACGACTCCAAATTTAAAACAAATAAAATCTGCCAACGTTTCCTTGGCATACACAATAGCCCTCGCGTGGCGCCTGCGTTTATGGAATTCACGAAAAAATTCCACCAATAAGTAATCTTGCCACCGGCATATGCCTATGCACTTGCGCGTATATCAACATACGCCGGCCACATCTTTATTTATTTTTTACGCATGTCCACATTTACACATATAACACCACACACTGCGCAGACGTATCCGTCTAACACTTGTCGATAATCCTCGCATTGGTATCTGGCACGGGTATCTGTTGTTAATACACAATTGTACTAACACGACATAACACAACAACTCACCTATATAAAGAGTGCGCCCATCCGAAACACAACTCCAGAGGCGCCGGCGCATATCTCACCATCTTCGCCAGGCCACCAGGCGCATATTCGATCAGCTTCACCGACACGAACGCGCGTTCCCGACATCAAACGTCAAAATTAGTTGCTTATAATTATTACACACACATTTCGCTAATTAGTGGTGCGCATCAACAATTATCCATAACAACTATCGGTGACTGAAGTCACGGTCACAATATTGGCCCCCTGCACACGTTTTTTTTTTTCTGCATGTTATTCCGCGCCCACTCCATTTAAAATTCAAACATAATAAAACTCTGGAAAAACAATCAAAATTATTTTTATTAAATAAATACATAAAATACTATTTGCGGGTGCCTTTTTTCCTTTGCAACCTTTTAGCGCCTCCACAAAAAATTTGATTAAGAAGGAGACCAAAAAGGTGTTCAATATCTTACTGCCGGCGTTTAATTTCGACGGCAAAGCATTTCTCAGCAACAAACAAAGCAAGAGCTTTTGTCCGTACATCCAAGGCGCCTCAAATAAGCCGCTCTTCTTGTCGTTAAGGCTCATAAGCGAGAATATTATGTCCAGCGACAGCGAGAAGGACAGCGCAAAGCTTTCTGCAGTTCCTATTGTCATTCCGTCCTCCCATCAGCCCAGGTCCAGTCCCTCTTCGACTCCAACGGTCCCAAGCTTAGCTTCGCCCTCACCTTCACCCGCTCAACTGACAGTAAAGGTGCCCACCATACCCAAAACCACACCTCCAACTACGAGAGCAGCAGGTCAAAAAGCGTCAGCTAGCAACAAGATGGCGTTAAACCACTTCATTAGCGTCACTGACAAACTTTGTCAGTTCGAGGCTAAACTTGATCCTTCCTCCAGTGCCGAAACGTCTCTGTTCGCTCTTAAGGTCGACTTGGACCACGTCAAAACCTTGTGGGAAAAGGTGGAACAAGAGTGTGAACGCTGCACGCGGGCTCTGAATGAGTCAGAGTCCGGCCTTTCAGAACGGCAAGCGATGCAAGCAAAATATGACCATTGCTACTCGGTGTACGTTCGATGTGCCTCCACTCTGAGTGAGCAAATCGATCGGTGTTCCGCTCTTAATCGAGCACCAGCACCCACTATCCAATCCAGGGGCTGCAGCCTCCCTCCAATCGAGACCGAGGTGTTCAAGGGTGACTATCTGAAGTGGCCCACCTTCAGTGACCTCTTTACTGCGGTCTATATAAATCATCCCAGTTTGACTGAAGTTGAGAAACTGGCCCACCTAAACGCAAAAACGAGTGGTGAAGCAAAAGCTATTGTCAAAAAATCGCCCCTCACCAACGAGGGTTTCCAATCTGCTTGGGCTGCCTTGACTGCGCGTTTTGAAAACAAACGACTTCTAGTCAGCAGCCAGATGAAGATTTTATTCAATATACCGCCCATCTCCCAAGAGTCGGGAGCCTCCCTAAAGGAGGGATGCTTGACGGCTCTTGAACATTCCAAAATCAGCACTAAGAACTGGGACTGCCTGTTAGTCTATTTGTGTACTTCTAAACTACCGAGACTGACTCTCTTACTTTGGGAACAGTCTCTCCAAGATAAAACCGAGGTTCCTTTCTGGTCGGAATTAAATCACTTCCTCCTCGAGCGTCATCGTACTTTAGAGGCAATAGAGGAAATGAAACCGAGCATAAGCGCGCGGCAGCCCAAAGAACCAACTGCCAAAAAAATCCAATCATTTGAGGCAAAAGTCAGCGCCAAAACACAGGCGTGTAAACTTTGTTCGAAGGAGAATCATCCTGTTCGCCTCTGTCCTCTCTGTTGCTTTGCTCGGGGGCACCAACTAAAAGATTGCACGAGTCAATACAACTGTTTGACGTGCAAGGGCCGCCACAATACACTATTACACCGTGGTGCGCCCCCTCCATCGGTGCCTTCGGCATCATCCATTCCTTCCTCCAATGCACCACCTACTTCAACCAATAATATACAGTCCACGCCCACGAATGTTCAAAATTATTTTTCCTCCAACACCCAAGGGGTACTCTTAGGCACGGCCATTGTCCCCATTGTACAAGCAGGCACTGCTTATCCAGCGCGCGCCCTGATCGACTCAGGCTCTGAAGGGTAGGAAGGTAGTTTTTATAGTTAAGTGTCAAAGGCTCTGGTGTAATCGAGATAAGGTTGTAAGGTCACACTGAAAGAAAGAGCGGCACAATAAAATTAGATTGAAAACGAGAAACAACGCGCCTTTAATAATTGTCTCGGCCACAATTATTCAGAAGTGGGATCAAACTAAAATATCGCCGACAAAGTGAAAAAAATTTTATATTTGCTAATTAACACAGAAAACAATGCAAGAGATATGTGCCGATGAGTGTTCAACGTCACGGTTGAGAATGTGGTTGATGCTGTTGAAGTGTCCGTCGGACGGCGACAAAACGGAGCTGGCTGTGCGTTTAAGTCAAATTCCAACTGAATTCAGCGACGAGTGCCCATCAAGAGAACACGCTGCAGCGGCGCTCCAAAAAATGCAAAGAGGGTCGCTAGATGGTACGGACGAGCAAGAAGTGGGTGCTGGCGACGGCGGTGGTGGCGCCGAAGATCCGTGCAGGGCAATTGAAACACGTGACGATGAGCATAATGCAGACGGCGATAACGGCCAGGGTAGAGCAGAGAACGAACTGAACATGCTAAAACTACAGTTAGATATGCTGAAACTCGAAAATGCAATGCTAAAAAAGAACGTAAAGAGAGAGAAGGCTTAAGCATCAAATCAGGCAACATGTTGATAAATGTTGTTAAAGACATGTTGCCAGCGTTTGATGGGAAGAGCCCTGTAAACATTTGGGTTGCGCAACTGAAGTCTGTGGCCGCTGTTTATGAACTCGACGACAACATGTTGCGAATGCTGCTAATGGCGAAGCTGAGAGATGGCGCTCAAATGTGGCTGCATGGTAACACAAAACACCTGACCATGCCCATGAACGAGCTGCTGGAACTAATGTTGACGACTTTTTCGGTAAAGGAAAACAAGATGGCCCTGCGTCGAAAGTTCGAAACGCGCAAGTGGAAGACAGGTGAAGAATTTCTTGAGTATTTCAACGAAAAAATGCTGCTAGCTTCGCTTATCAGCATCGATGAGGATGAATTAACAGAGACTATAATAGAAGGGATACCGGATGAACAACTACGGCGCCAAGCCCAAATGCAGGGTTTTGCACAGGCATCACAAGTCCTACATGCATTTAAGACCATAAAGCTGTCGGGAAACAAGCCGGAACGTTGGATCAAGACTGCAGAACAGAAATCTGGTACAATGGCGGTGCGCTGCTTCAACTGCAATTCACTGGGCCATTTTGCTTCGGAGTACCTGAAGACAAAGCGGGAGCGAGGAGCCTGCTATGGATGTGGAAGTATGGACCACCAGATCTCCCATTGTACAGAAAATAAACGTGCAAGTCATGAATATGTAAGATATTTTAGTATTTATATTAAACATTTTAATGACCAGTCCCTGTTTGTAGAATGTCTCATCGATTCGGGGAGCCCAATAAGCTTTGTGAAAATTTCGTGCCTGGAAAGGAGTATTGACAATGAAGTTTATAAATGTAATTTTGAAAAATTGTTAAAACGTTGTTTTGGTCCTACCTTTATTTCTGAAAGACTGAGGAATCGGATAAAGTTGCCCTTCAAAAGGGTCCAAGCCCAAGTGTCCGGGCTTAACCAGACGGTAGCAGGCCTGACGACCAAGATGTGCAACATAAAGTTGGTCTCGCCCACGCATCCAGCCACGGAAATCGAAGCCTCAGCTTTCGTGCTACCGCAGCTAGCAGGTAACCTGCCATCTTACTCCTTTCCTCGGGAGGCTTTAAAAGACCTCCCAAATCTGCCGCTAGCTGACCCATCATTCTTCCGAAGCTCTCCCATTGATGTACTAATCGGTGCGGATATACTTCCTTCCATCCTACTGGGTGGTTCCCAGTCCAATGTCTGTGGTTCGCTGTTAGCTCAGGAAACTGTCTTTGGGTGAATTCTTACTGGCCCAGTGTCCACAGCAGGAAACACGACCATAGCGTCTTTCGCTACACGTGTTGCTCTGTACGATGCGCCCGTATTAGATCAGTTGCTCACAAAATTTTGGGAGGTGGAGGATGTCCCAGCCAACTGTCCCAAAGCTGAAGATTTGTTTTGTGAACAGCTATTCCAGCGCACAACAAAACGACAGACGGATGGAAGATATATGGACTCACTCCCTTTTAAGGAACCAAACCAGATCGAGCTGGGCCATTCCAGGTCTATTGCGCTCGCGCAATTTTTAAGAAATGAGGCGAGACTAAAAAGGAACCCTCCATTGAAGGAGCAGTATGACGCTGTCATTACAGAGTACCTGGACTTGGGGCACATGCGCCAAGTCCCTCCGGCCACCAACACTGCCAATTTTTATCTCCCTCATCACGAGGTGGTCAAACCCGATCGCGCCACTACCAAGGTTCGCGTAGTTTTCAACGCCTCCAATCCGTCCTCCAACGGAAAAAGCCTAAACGACGTCTTGCATACGGGACCGGTCCTCCAGTCGGACCTAACTCTGCAAGTGTTAAAATGGCGCTTTTTCCGGTATGTGTTCAGTGCCGATATTACGAAGATGTATCGGCAAATTCTAGTCAATCCTGAACACACCCCTTACCAACGAATTCTCTACCGCAATCCAGCGGGGGATCTGTGTGACTTTGAACTTAACACAATCACCTTTGGTGTAAACTGTGCACCATTCCTGGCCATCCGCGTCCTCCTGCAGCTCGCTGAGAACTCCCAAGCTCAGTATCCGCTTGCCAGTCGGATCCTCACAAACTTTATGTATGTAGATGATGTCCTAGCTGGAGCGCATACGCAGCCGGACGCGCTCTCATCCATAAGAGAGCTCCAAGCAGCATTTAACGCCGCAGGCTTTCCGCTGCGAAAGTGGACATCCAACAGCAAGGCGCTCCTACGGGGCCTACCGGAGGAACATCTGTTACACGCCGACTTTCTGGATATTGAGGATGCCAGCGTGACTAAAACGCTAGGCATCAAA